CTTAGATGCCAACCTCGCACTTCCCACGGCAGGCAGTGTAATGAGCCGCACACTTCTAAACTTCACCCCACAACCCCATAGGCTATCCAGCATTATAATGATGCCAATGTTGAGCGGTGATTGGTCAGCACAGGCATACGACTGCGCTGACCAAGAAGAATCTCTCCCTTCTTCTGGGACGGCCTGGTCACGTGGCCATGCTGACCATTGCCAGCATTATAATGCTACATAGCCACTGAGGCTGTGTAGTAAAGTTTGGAAGTGTACTGCCTGTTGCACTGGCTGGTATGAGTGGTGGCATGTTGTCATCTAAGCAGCTAAGTGCAGTGGGGTGTTGTGAGGTAGTTTACCTTTTTCATTTTTTTTTGTGAAAAGGTGAACTAACCCTTTAAGTTGATATACTGCTTAGGGACATATACATAAAAGTATGTACTGTTCCAACTTTATACATCAATCCCCATACAAGGTGAATCTATACAGATCGGTAAAGTGTTCTTACGGGCATCACACGTTTGTGGGAAAAGCATAGGATCCACTGCTCCCAAGCCTTGAATCAGGTCACACTCATGGAAGATCAGGTGATAAACGTCAATGGGGGCTTGTCCTGTGCCCCACAGACTATACAAATCCAAAGGACTGGTTGCGCTCCTGAAATAGTTCAAGCGCTGGTAGATTTTTTCATCTGGACAACATGAACAGAGAGTCCCTGTCTGGGACTTCCTCTTTTTCCACTTTTGTGGGTGAATTAAATTAAAAGAAAAGATTAAGGCCTAAACAAATCTTCTAAACTGAGAAAACGGGGCAGATCCTGCTTCTAACTAACAAATGTGGTGCAAGCCTCTTTATTAATTAGGAGCGATCTGCTTTGTTTTCTATGCCCTGTGTGTGCAGAAACAACATAGAGAGTTGGAGCTGTTTGCTCTGGCTACCTCTGAACATCCCCGCCCCACACTCAGCTGAGAGCGAGATAAAGGAGGAAGGCTGTTAACCCTGATAATTGCTGGGGTTAACATCTAGGCATATAGGCAAGGAAAGGAGCCTTCTCTGCCCATGTGCAGGTTCTGCCAGTGTAGTATGTTCACTGCACAGGTAGAGAGGTATGTGAGCTGTAAACTAGGTTACCGGCAGATAGTTCCCATTCTGTACTCCAGGTCCAGTCTGCTGGGTATCTGCAGCAGTTTTCTATATTCTACAATGGCCGCAATCTTTGTTAATTCGGCATGGAACCCACAGCAATTTCTCTTTCACTGTGAAATAGAAACTGGCACAGATGGTGCAGCTAGACCTGAACCAGGTGTATCTGCTTTGTTAATAAGGCGCATGACACTGACTGTCTCTGACTCCCCGAGATATAAATGTGCAGATGATTTCTATGCTGTTATGATTACTCAGGGTCATGTTAAATTAATGCATCAGATTGGGGGTTGGGACACATTTTGAGATATGGTACCATGTTTTCCCATAACGTCTTCCAGGACAGCATCACGAGATGGAATCTCCTCCCCCACACAAATTGTGGACAACTAAATGGGTACATACAGTGTGGCAAATAATGATTTGATCCCCTTTTGTAGGTTTGCCCACTTACAAAGAAATGAAAGGTTTATAATTTTTATCATAGGTGTGTTTTTAAATTATAGAGACAGAATATCAACCAAAAATCCAGAAAAACCACACGATACAAATGTTATAAATTGAGTTGCAGTTCAGTGAGTAAAATAAGTATTTGATCCCCAAGCAAAACATGACTTAGTAGTTGGTGGAGAAACCCTTGTTGGCAAGCACAGAGGTACGATGTTTCCTTTAGTTGGTTACCAGGTTTGCACTCATCTCAGGAGGGATTTTGGTCAACTCTTCTTTACAGATCTTCTCTAAATCCTTAAGGTTTCTTGGCTGTCGCTTGGCAACTCGAAATTTCAGCTCCCTCCATACATTTTCTTTAACATTAAGGTCTGGAGACTGGCTAGGCCACTCCATGATCTTAATGTGCTTCTTCCTGAGCCACTGCTTTGTTGCCCTGGCGGTATGTTTTGGGTCATTGTCATGCTGAAATACCCATCCACGGCCCATCTTCAGTATTCTGGCTGAGGGAAGGAGCTTCTCGTATAAGATTTTACAATACATGGCCCCGTCCATTGGCCCCTCAATACGGCAAAGTCAGCCTGTACCTTTAGCAGAGAAACAGCCCCAAAGCATAATGTTTCCACCTCCATGTTTGACTGTAGGGATGGTGTTCTTAGGGACATAGTCAGCATTTTTCTTCCTCCAAACACGGCGAATCGAGTTAATGGCAAAGAGCTTAATTTTGGTCTCATCTGACCGCACCACTTTCTCCCAATCCTTCTCTGAATCATTTAGATGTTCATTGTCAAACTTCAGATGGGCCTGTACAGAAGCCTTCTTGAGGAGGGGGACCTATCGGGTGCTGCAGAATCTCAATCAATGGCAGTGTATTGTGTTACCAATGGTTTGTTTGGTGGCTGTGGTCCCAACTGCCTTGAGATCCTACACAAGCTCCTCCCATGTAGTTCTGGGCTGATCCCTTACTTTTCTCATGATCATCCTTACCCCATGAGGGGAAATCTTGCATGGCGCTCCAGATCAAGGGCGATTGCTGGTTATTTTGTATTCCTTCCATTTGCGAATAATTGCTCCAACAGTTGTTTCTTGCTGATAAGTCTTGTAGCCCATTCCAGCCTTGTGCAGGTCTACAATCTTGTCCCTAACGTCCTTTGACAGCTCTTTGGTCTTGCCCATGGTGGTGAGGTTTGAATGGAAGAAAGAGATTCTGTGGACAGGTGTCTTTGACAGAACTAATCTGTGTACCACATAGCCAGTCTGTGGGAGCCAGAATTATTGTTGGTTGCTTGGGGATCAAATACCCCAGTTCAGTTCAGTTTTTTCTTCTTTTTTTTTTTTCTCTATAGGTTGGATTCGATGGACTTGTGTCTTTTTTCAACCTGACTAACTATGTAACTATCACTTCCTGCTGTGTCTGATACTTGTCACCTGGACAGGAAGTGAGGGTAAATCTCCCCAGTAGGAACAAAGCCAGCAATAAAAACCCAACGGTGTTCACCCTTGCCTCCCCAAATCTTAACAAGTACTATATCTCTCTGGAATTGGGTTTATCTAGGAGGAAAGGGGAAAACAAATTTTAGTAATTTTTCCTATTTTTATGTTTGTTATTATCACAACCCCAGACATTTACCCTAAAATATATTCGTCATCTGTTAGCAAAGCTTCTTCATCATGGTGATTTTATTCCCCCCCAAATATGCCAAAGGAGTCGGCTGCAGTAAAACAGCTGTGATGGAGTATGGGGAATAGGGCTGCAACCAACTAATCAATTAATCGGTAATGAGAATAGTTAACAACTATTCTCATTATCGATTAGTTGGTTGGAGCCCCTAGCTCTCTACTGGGAGGAAGGCACAGCAAGCAGTGGGCGGGTGCAGTAGCCAGCCTGTTATTGCAATTTGAAATGGCCAATAACAGGCTGACTATTGCATCTGACCACTACCTGCTGTATTTACATTCAGCTGCTGTCTGTGGCATCTTGCCACTGGCAGCTGTCATTCTCTGGCTCAAGCTATTCAAGCGCCATGTGCTCACAATACAATTATAAAAAAAAAAAAGATAAAAGGAGGGAAAAAAGTCATTTTCGGTTTCAGTCTGACAAATTCTGCTGCAGGAGGTGCGTTGCAGTGCCATTCATTTCAATGGCACCCCAAACGCTCCTCCCACCCACAGTGTGATCGCCCGCACTGGAACGCACGGTACCGCAATGCCATGCATTCCAGTGCAGTGTGATTGCAAAAAATTGTGCATGCTTTTTTTTCTGAAGTAAACTGTTTGTTTGAAACACTCCTCCATTTGTGTATTTTATTTTAAATTAAGGATTGTGTTTTATTACATTTTTTTTTAATACGATTAATCGAAAAAAAATATTCGGCCAATTAATGGTTTTGAAAATAATCGTTACTTCCCCTAATGGGGAATCAGCTGACACTGCAGTATACATGAATTAGAAAGGCCTTGGACAAGACAAAAGCAAACAAATCTTTACTCCTAATGGTCAGAAGATTTTTCCAGTTGTTGAAATATACAGTATATTTATTACTATTAGGTTTTCTTTTGTTTTTAAGAAACTTTCTCAGGTCCAATACATTTTTGTTTTTTGTGTAGATGTCTTCAGATGGCGAGAGCACAAGAAGTCCTGTTTTACCAAATGATTCAGACCACGGCAGTTCAGTATCCTCAGATTTCCAGGTAACATGCCATTTTACAGTGTTGAAAAATAAAATCTAATATCTATATAATAAGGCAGGGCTCAAAATGTCAAGTCCTGAGCTACTAGCCAGGTCTTAAAAGTTATTTGCCACCAGTTGCCCCACCTAACCCCTACCCTGCCCCGGCCTTAACTCCGCCAGGTCAGCGGTGTGACGCACAGTACAGAGGTCAGTAATGTAACGCACAGTACAGAGGTCAGAGTGACGCACAGCGCAGAGCTTGAGACCTCTGTGCAGTCATACTGTAGGTGTGGTGGACTTGGGATTCATTTGTAAAGCAGTCGTATGGCTTACCATTGCCAATCAGCTGCTTCAAGCCCATATCCAGGCAAATCTCTCATCTTGCTGAGTTTTGCTGTACAGGGGCTTACAAGAGGATGATACCAAACTTAATTCAGATGTTGCATATAAAAATAAATGTAATCATTTTATTATAACGTTTATTGCTTTTGTTTTTTTTTTATCTGTCTGGAGTAAATGTATATTTGGTGGAAATTCAACTGTTTTTGTGTGTGTTTTTTTTATTCTAAGCTTCCTTTCTGTATAGATACAAGTGCATAACGTAGACTTTATACTGCATATGCTCAGTCTGAACATGTTCTTAGAAGAATAGCAAGTCTACTCTCCTGCAGTCTCTCATGTCCTAGAAATGGCATTCATCTCTTTATTTTACTACATGATTAAGCAGCTCCTATTGTTCTGACTCTTTTATGACAGGATGAATATGACCAGCTTCTTCGTTACGCTGTGGTAACTCCAAAGTTTGGGTCTCATTTCCTCAGGGAGCATCAAACGACTGCTGAGCAAACCACAAGTGACAGGTTTTCAAGTCCCAGGGAATCTGAGCAAGAGCAGGCTGCAGGTATAACACATATCCCGCCGCCACTGTATGATGTGTGCACTGATGATCATTTTCCATTCAGAACATTTATAGCTGCTTGTTTTTTTCTTTATTTTAGCTGAAAAATTATATACAATTATTTCACAGTAACGGCACCCCTGTCAAGCTGCATGTTTTGTTTGATATTCTAAGTCGGAAAGAAAAGTGAATACAATCTCTGCATGGAACAGATTTTAACATGACACAGTTCTGCAGATTTATTGCAGTTAAACAATGCCGTGCATACAAGATGACTGCAGAATTGTTCTAAACTAGGGACTGTTTTAAAAAAAGAGAGACTTAGCGGACGAAATTTCGGAGATTCGGATGTATCCGAATCCCGAATTACAGATCTAACGAATGCAAATGAATCCGAATTTCCGATTCGGTTTTTTTTGGACGAAATTTCGTTGCAGCAAAGTGACATGTGAGAACAAAAAAACTTTTTTTCCCTCTTAAATGTCATTTTGCTGCAACGAACGGACGAAAGGAAACTTCGTACGGATTTCGTCCGAATTCCGAAACGAATTGACTTTCGGACCTGAATTTCCGAAAAACGAAATCTAGCAAAATCCGAACCAAAACGAAACTAAACAATTTTTTTGCTGGTGCACATGTCTAACACATACATACGTGTGTGTGTGTGTGTGTATATATATGTGTGTGTATACAGTATCTAAAAAAACAGAGCAAAAGGAGCGCCTCCATAGTGTAAAACAGATTTAATAAAAGTAAAATACAACTGGAAATGTACATGCAAACGACTTGTAAAAAAACGAGCATTAAATAAAACAGTCTCAAGTGGATCAAAGATGGACAAACAAAAGAACGAGGTGCAAATATGGGACGAGTAAGTGTTTAAGCAAGGGCCATCTAGACACTGATCTTCCTCTGGTTGACGCGTTTTAGAGGTAAACCTCTTTCCTCAGAACCTAAGCTTTTGCGCCAGTGATTTTTTTAATCTATAACATATAAAGTATCTATTTATATGCGTGGTGTGTGTGTGTGTATGTATATGTATATATAATTACAGGTATTCCTCACTTAACGACCGAGTTCCGTTCCTACGACCAGGTCGTTAAACGGATTGGTCGTTAAGTGAGGAACTCTATACAGTACTGTACTGCATTAGTTCAGTACTGTATAGCGTTGCAGATGTACAGTACCGAACAGTGTACTGTACATCGGGCAATGAAAATACTCACCGGGACCCGCTGTGAAGATCGGAGGACGTCATTTCCCCCGGCGACACGTCGCACTGGCGCGCGAGGTCGGTCGTAAGTGCGAGTGGTCGCAAAACAGGTAAGTGATTAAGCGAAGAGCATCTGTACAGGTGAAACTCGAATAATTAGAATATCGTGCAAAAGTTAATTTATTTCACTAATGTAACTTAAACTGTGAAACTAATATATGAGGTAGACTCATTACATGCAAAGCAAGATAGTTCAAGCCGTGATTTGTCATAATTGTGATGATTATGGCTTACAGCTCATGAAAACCCCAAGACCACAATCTCAGAAAATTAGAATATTATATGCAATCAATAAAACAAGGATTGTACATAGAACAATATCGGACCTCTGAAAAGTACAAGCATGCATATGTACTCAGTACTCTGTTTGGGCCCCTTTTGCAGCAATTACTGCCTCAATGCTCTGTTTCTGCCATTCAGCCTGAAAAGCGCTTCATTCACAATATATACAGCTTGCAGGTGCTGACAAATAGTGACTGCGTCGAATAGGTTGTAATCACTGTTGGGTCAATAATTTTCAAGCCAGCTTGGACAATTTTTAATTGACATTTGTAGAGCTGAGTGATGCTTGCAGGGCCACCCACAACTCTGAAATTGTGTCCAAATTCTTCTGAAATTCGAATGCGTTGTGTGCCTTAATCCTTTACATGTTTTATGGAGTGGCCCATTATTCGTCCTGGTAGTATGGGTTGATGATCCCCCTCACCCCATTACCTTCTTTTTGGCCAGTAAGGCCACCCTACATAGTGATGGGCCAATAGAAAGGGCGACAGAAGGGGTCATTCAGGTCCCAACACTACCAGGAAGCATTTTGATTTGCTTATTATCACTGAGCTCTGGGATTCTAGCTGCTCCACAAAAATACTTAAAAGAGAACTATGGGGTAACTTTTAACGCATAGTTCTCTTCAGGGTCACGGGAGGATATATACTAACCACCTCCTGTGACCCAAAACTCAGTATATAGCGAGCTATTGCCTGCTGTATACTGAGAGCGCTGCAGCCGGGACGGAACCTGACAATACTGTCTAGATCCACCCAGCTAGCTGATTGACAGCGGGCTCAGCCTATCTAGATGCCGAGTCAGCTGTGCCCGCCTCCTCCCTCGTCCATTCCTCTAGTCCACGCTGGAGGATCGGAGAGGGGGGAATCCCTTAGTGGATCACTGCTCTCTGCAGGGAGATAATCGGGAAGTCAGCGATGTGTTCGCTCAATAGAGCCAACTTGTGACAGTTCCATTGTCACAGGTCGGCTTGTGTTATGGGGATGGGTGTTTTTCACTTACCCCATAATTCTCCTTTAAGGTCTGGCCTGCATTGTGGTTCTATATTATGATAACAAATTTGTTTTAATTTGGATATGCTTGAAAAACTCCTCCATCGCTAAAGGAAAAATGTTAAATTGGGCGCAGCGTAATGTTTCAGCAGCAGCTGACAACGCAGGTAAACTCTGGAGTTGCTGCTTCCAGTACATTCCAGGAACTGATCTGTAGGGCCGTGATCACACCATGCCACTGACCTGCACACCCGACCCGCTGGACTGACCGGAAGTGGCGTGACGTGGCCTCTGCCGCTGCTGCTCCTCTCCCTTCACCGTCTGCCGATACCCATTTAAGTGTCCCGGGCGGGTCCCAGAGGCTGCCCGGGCCCCTTACATGAGTATCGGCCAAACCCTCCTGACGGCCCTGGCCGGAGGTTTTCTACCCATGCTCTAGACTGAATGTGGAAGATGCTTTATACCTTGTTCATCTCCTATCTTGCATTTGTATATTGTTGTATAAAACAGGGGAACATAATGTATATTAATCAAAAGACGTTCTATACTAGTGTATGCTAGGAAGAGGGAAGAGCTGACAGATGGGGCATACAGTGTATGGTTCTTTCCTGTATATTCCGACTATGCCATCACCATACATGCTGATCTTATTTAGGGCTGCAACAACTAATCGACATAATCGATTTATAATCGATTATTGAAAAAGTTGTCAACTTTTTCAATAATCGATTAATCGGCTTCCGATCAGTTGGCCCTGTTCACGGCTCCACACACACTGCGCGCCGCACCTCCTCCCCAAATCACGCTCACCGCTGCCAGACCCGCCCGCCCGCATCCACGCTCTACACGTCGCACCTCCTTCCCGCCTCACACTCACCGCCCGCCCACATCCACGGTCGTCACAGGGACGCGGGGAGATGTAGTAAGGAGGAGGAGGTGTGGGGGGATGACAGCCGCCGATAGACAGGCCCAATCTCAGAAGCAAGTTGCTGGAAAACTGCTCAGGTAAGCCTGCACTCCCCCCCCTCGCATGGTGCTCTATAATGTATTGCTGGGATTTGTATTCCTCTATAGCTGATGGTACATTGTGCTGTATATTATACATATGAATACAAATCCCAGCAATACATTATACACTGTTTGTATAATGTATTGCTGGGATTTGTTGTACTCTATAGTGATATTCTGCACTGCGCTGTATAGAGGACTACAAATCCCAGCAATAATACATTATCGGCTAACTAATCGATTTTGAAAATAATCGTTAGCTGCAGCTCTAATCTTATTACCTCCTGTAGCTAATATTTTTTTTTATTACCCATTCTCTGAACACATTTTATTAAACTGGGGATGGAAGAACATAATAAACATAATACACTGTTCGTGTTATTTATATTGTTGTATTCATCATTCCTCTTTCGGCTCCTAATTTCTGTTTCATGTAACAAATATTATTATTACCATCTCATGACTTTACTGTGTTTATTTGATTATTTTCCTGTTATGTATGTCTACCTTTTTTGCTAGACATTATATTACAATTTATTAAGGGGATGTATCTGCTTCCTCCCATTATATGTTTCAACCCCTAAAGTGTATCCAAAACCAAGAGGCTTCTCAGTCCTCTGATGTGGTAGCTGCATTAGTTTGCTTTTTTTTAATTTTTATTTACTGCCCTGGGTTACAATAATCACTTACTGCACTCTATCTATAGAGGAGCAGTGTTGTCACCCTAGGACAGGACTGCAGAACACATCATCGATTGCTCACCTCCATAACATATTGGGAGATGTTCTAAAGTCCACAGAGGAGAACCAGGCAGGGCTGATGACAATATTTAAGATTTAAATGCAGCATGGGCACAATTCACAGAAGATTGGGAGCTCAATGGATTTCTGTCAGAATCAACAGCAGTTTTTTGCACTTGTAAAGCAACCAATATTACAAAACACTTTCAATTTAATAGGCCGCAAAGGAGCAAATAGGTTAATTGTTAGGGTTTTGTAGGTTTTATATACACATTAAGCCTCACCTGGACTTTTTGATTGGATAGATTTTCAAAGCTCAAAAAATGTGTGTGAAATAATATCTCTGCTACAGAGGTAAAGTCCTGGATGAGAGCAGAGAGCCTCTGGAAGTGAGTTTCCCTCACTGCTGAGAACTTTGGGGCACTGTAGCAGGAGATGGTTCTCCTCATCATCCAGGACCCCTGGTCACAACCCTGGTGTACAGTCTACTTTCCTTGACCTTGTAGGTCTGTCTGTGCTGTCCTGTTTTGATTTCCAGGCTATGCATGATTAGTCTGTTCAGGCTCAGAGTCTATCTTTGGGATCTTGTTCGGGTGGCCAACAAACGCCCCTAGACGCAGACTAAAACTGTGAATTTTGGTGACTCTATTTCCTGCCAACAGCCATTTTTTGTTTTGGGTATCTCCCATTTAATTCTTCTATTAAAACAATTTCGGGAGTTTGTTGCCTGTCCATGGGATTTGATGACGGTCTGGTTGTGGTTTCAAGATTATTTGACTGGTTTTGGCTGTCACTGATTTTTGTCCTGTTAATTTTTGCACATTAGTTGGGACATGATGCAGGCATGTCTCTGGAGAATGTTTCTGCTGGCATTTGTTCTTTACAGATCTTGCTAGCTGGAGCTTGCAGGGCCTTATAGACTTGGCCTGATCTTTAATTTTGAAGAAAGCACTCTTCAGAATTCTCTAATTTGGCCTCCATACCTTGTGCCAGGATGATGTTCTTGTGGTATATGTTCAGGGTGAGCACAACACACTTTGGATTTTCCTCCTCTTTCACCCTGATCTGCCAGCCCTGCCTGATGTCTCCCTTCGTGATATTCTCATAGTATTTGCAGAAAGCTGTATGCCAGGCTTGAGGTTGCGCACCCACTGTGCAGGACTGGCTGAGATTCGCACACAGTGTTTGGTCAGCAATGACAGGATTATTTTTAAAGTTTAGTTTCTAGACTACATTGGCCATTTCCTCCCTGTTACTTGTGAGTCACTTAAAAATAACATGTTCTTTAGAAGTATACATTTTTGTTACAGAAAGAAGTCAAACTTCATCCTCTCAAGATCTTCATCAGCAATCAAATAGAGAAATTGAAAGAGACAATCCTGCAACTGAAGCAGATCATCATTCAGCATCAAGGAGCCAAACGGGTATCATGCCCCACCATCATATTTGTTACATTGTATTTTAAATGACTATTTCAGAAAACAAATGACACTTTACACTGTTACTGTAGTATTTTACAAGGCTGGTTTGAGTCTGGTTGCTAAAAAAAAATAAAAATATTCTCAGTAGAGCGGGTTTGTCTCGGAGTTCCTACCATGCTTCATGAGCAGGGGTTCTCTGATCGCATGAGACGACAAGTTAGAGTGGTGGGTGGACTGATGCACCACACCAATCCCTGGATGAAAGGGAAGCATCCTCTCGCTCTATCCATCTTAACCCCTTCGTGACGGGAGACGTACACTGTACGTCCAGCCAACATTTTTGATTTTGTCTGAAATGTATAAATAGGGAAATACTGTCCTGTCAGAATGTAGAGAGAATTATAGAAGCTGCCTCTGTAGGCTTTCTTGTAAAAAATGCTAGTTGGCTGGCTGCACCTGACTAAGTATATGATGAGTGTCAGAAACGTGTAGAAATTCCTTATGTCTATACTTGTTTATCAGGCTAGTAATTCAGAAGCATTAAAGCCAAAGCATCAGCATGATAGTCAGGAAACTAAAAGAGGCGCCCAATGGCAGCCTCCATAATTCTCTTATACTTCGTGTTCTTTAATGTAAGTTACATTATTTGCTTACTCCTCCAGATAATAAATTAAACTGCATTTAAGTATCACTTCCTCCAAGACTTTTTAGACTTGAATGAAGAGGGTAATGGTTTAATGCCTCTGAATCTATTCTTTCCACACTTATGGTCACAGAGACACAGCAGGATAGAAGTAAGAAGACTAATGATCCTTTAAAGTAGATCTAAACCAAAGAACTAAAATCTAACAAAGCAATTGTTTTCAATCTTGTTAAAATGTACAGCGTTCATTGAAGAATACCTGCTGATTCTGCCAGGAAAGTACTTGTGCGGGCCATTCCTGAGGTTGCTATGGTTTTCTCTGTGGTGTTCCTGCATTGTAAAGGTGCCCATACACTGTACGATTCTCGTACGAGAATTAAATGCTCCCCTTGAGAAGACCACAAGCATATTTAGAACATTTGCAAGCAGCATTGAGGTGCAAAAAAGGTTAAAAAATGTAAAAGGAATATATTATGGTTGAAAAAATACCAATTGTCTATGATATACCATGTTTTAATGAAGTAAATGTGGTCCAGTTAGTGATAGGCTCTTTAGCATTGCTGTTAATAGTAAATCCTTTTTTAAGTTGGATTAACTGTTAACAACAAAAAAGAAAGATATCACTGACTACCATAGGTGGTTCTCAGTTGTACCAATCTCTTCTATTGTTTTTTTCTGAGCACAAATAGCTATACTTAAAAAGTGAAGTTGTTCATGGGCTCTACGAAGCTCAAACTCCATATTTTTCTCCCCACTTGGACATTATATAGATTTATTTTGATTTTATAATTTGTCATTTCAGAGCAGATAGCATTTCAGAGATCACCATTTGCTTCAGTCCTGGAAGCATTCTCTCCTGTTCACTCAGAGGAGATGTCTCTTCATGGATCCTCCTCTTCCTCTACGAGGTCACAGGTGGAACAAGTCAGAGTAACAGAGCTCCCCATCCCTGCTGAAGACCTGCAACAGGTGGAAGATTTGCTTGAACTATGGAGTGGGGGGCTTAAGGTATATATATATATTTCTGCTGTTTTTTTTGCTGCACAGCTTAGTGGTTCACTCACTACTGCTACAAATTTTAGGACACTTTGGGGGGAATTTATTAAAACCGGTGTAGACAAAATCTGGAGCAGATTTGCACTACAACCAATTGGCTTCTCTGTCTCATTTTCTTTTTTTTTCCAAAATATTTTATTTAGGTTTAAACAAGGT